CCCCAAAACCCCAAAACCCCAAAACCCCTCCATTTCATTATTTTAAAAATTAATAATTTAGTTATATTTTTATAATTAATGGCGTTTAAATAATTTTTTGGTGTATATTTTATATTTTGGATTTTGACTTAAACTCAATCTGAAATTGTAAATGTTGTTTAAGTATTCAGACATGGAAATAGAGCATTTTAAGAATTTATAGAGCCAGATTCGCCTGCAATGATTAACTGGATAAATAATTTAACACCAGTAGGAATGAGATAGTGCTACTTGCTTGGTGTTTACATGCGCAAAAAATATGTTTAGGATGAGAAATTCTTCAGTCACGAAGACTTGATGAATGTTTAAAAACACTTAATCTATCATTCTACACAAATGTCAAGATCGACTAGCTCTTATCAATCTTTTATGTATGGTTTTGGAGAACAAATTTTTATGGATGATAAGAAAAATATTAAGGAGAATAAGTACTTGAAATTAAATCATTTGAGATCTATTAAATAGAAAAGACTCCTTTCAAGTTTAAGGATTTAAAATACTATTCCTTATGAGTTAGAAGCCAAGAAAATGAATGAATCTTATGAAGCTAATGAAGTTATGCTAAACCAGATAGTTTTTGCTATCTAGGGTGGAAATAAGGAGTTTCCTGGACTTAATAAGGAAATCTGTAAATACAGCACAATGAAAACCGGATCATTAACTAAGAATAGGTCTTAAAATACCTATCTCAAAGATTTTATGAAAGATCTCATGAAAAAAGGAGTCTTATAAAAAGTAATGGCAATATTCGAGTTTGATCCAAGCTAATTCGACTAATTAGATGTAGATTTAACAATGAGGAAATTTTTAGAGATTACTGGAGAAGATGAACGCTCTCAAGTAAGAAAGAAGCTAAATCTTACAACATATGATATGACATATATTGAAAATGCAATAACAGATTATCTTTTATAGTATGCAGATAATCAATAGGTTCGAATGTACTAGCATTAAGTCTCAGAGCACTTACTTTAGAGCTTTGATGCCTAAATAATAAAAACCATTGCAAAGTAAAAAAATCAGACTTATGATCCAAAATTAGACGAGGGGTATTTATTCAATAAGTATTATGTATTTGCAGGGCATGATTAATACCTTCAAATGATGGGAAGACTTTTTGGATTGCAGATAAGCTTTGATTTAATCAGATATGCTGCCACTATGATTTTTGAATTGCATTTTGATAAAGATATGTTTATTAATGGCAAGTGCCAAGAAGACTTTGAAAAATGCTTTTATGTGAAGATAATCTTTAATGAGTTTTAGTTGTTTTCTGAGGTTGGCTTTTGCGATTATTTGTCAAATAGATGTTGGTACAAAGATTTTAAGCATTATCTCTAAGAGAAAATGCTTAGCAGTCAAGAATTTTATGATAAGTGTGATGATGAGTTTAAATTTACTGGTGATTAGTTATTCTTTCCTAGAATTTAGAATGTATGAAATTCTTAATTAAAAACAACTTTATAAATCAAAAGATTAAGCA